TGTCCGAGTTCGGAGACCCCGGCCTCACATATAAACCATACAGCTCCGATTTCGGAGTCCCCGGCTGGTAGTGGTTAACAATGTCCTACAACAATTGATATTTGTGCATGATGGCCAAACTAGGAGTGCAGCTGTCCTGTTTGAAATTTGAATCCCATTCTCAGACTCCATTTTTGACACCTCTTTAACCACTTCCTGCAGGGCAGAATTTGCATATGCGGGAAGAGTTTACGGGTGATTTTCAAAATTCTTCAAAAATTCATAACTTCAGTTACTGAACGCTTGCACCCACACAAATGACTGTCTGGTGGCTACTCTAATCTGACAGGCAACCTCCATTGATGCCCAGGTATTGCAGCCAGGCCTGTCGCCCAGTAAAGAGAGCCCACAATTATGAGGTGTTGTGTAATTTCCTTTGTTCCTGAAATTGGCCCAGTGCTTTGCTGAATGGCAGTGGTGCCTTTTCAACTGCGGCCAGATTAGCACGCAGCGATACTGCATCGCTCATTGCTGGAGTGCTAGAGCACTTTTTGTCCCTGCTGATAATCCGCGGGCGCTGAATGCCGCTAACAGTGGTATACTATTTCAAAACAATGACGGATTACCTCCGCTAATGCCAGCACATTCCCCAGCAGCTCGGTCTTTTGTTCCGAGTACGGTCTTTTGTTACAAGGCCCGGCTCCTTTATCCGACTTAGCGCATTCCCAGCTATGCGTACAAAGCCGCGGTCTCTGGTACCGGAAACCCTGGCACCGAGGGGTTAAAGTAGTGTCTCACTAGACAGGAAGGAAGTCATTCAGTCCTAGACAATCTGCTCAGAGAGGGAACAAAAAGGGCCATGTTTTTGAATGAAAAGGACGGTCCTTTGGCATGGACTCACTCTGTAGGCGCACAAGTGTATGCGCGTTTGGCGCGGGGCACGTTTAGTACGCGCAACAAATTTATAGTCTTCATGTGTGCTGAACGCGTGCAGGAACCCAATTGGAAAACTTCTCAAGTACTAGCCTGTGTTTCTTTCGCCAGGGAGGGTGCACTTAAACTAAGGGCAGATTATAAATAAAATTTGAATTTCAGAATTTAAATTTTTTTTCTTTTTTTTGGAGGATTTCTTAAGAAATTAGCAAATACCCCTTGAATAAAAAATCAATTTTCTTAATCTTCTGTAAGTTATTACTTGAGACAAATGCCGGAGACAACTTCAAGTCATTTCATTTTTACAACACCCCACTTCCTTGAAAGACGCTTGAATTCTGACAAAATATCACCTTAATATCCAGAGCCCAATTTTGTAACACTGCTGAACAGCCGATATTGTGCTAACACAGCCTCCGTCCAACAGAGACCCCTAAAGAGCACCTCTAAGGAAAACATGTCTTCTCTGATTTTATCTCTTCAAATAAATTTGGAAGCATCCAATCGAACACAGTATCATTTATCTTCAAAGCTCAGCTTTGCCGAGATGCGAATTCTGAATGTGGATTGCATCATTCAGAGAAAACAGAGAAATAGAGGGGAGCCCTCGCCCTGTGTTTGTAGTGGATAAGCCTTGCGCATGCCAAACAACGGCTACATGCTATTTTATCCACGATGAATGTTTTGACTGCAATGGTAAGAATAATTCCATGAGGTAAGAGGACTGTTCTAATCTGCGAGGCAAAGTGGAATGGAACACTCAGTCTGTCGCCAAATAACTATACTAAATGTGAACTATTCAATATCCAACTCTCAGCTGGAGTGTGTTGCTAGGGTTAGGCTTTTCGGAGTTATTTTCAATACAATTTGAAATGGCAGGCCCATGTAGATGAAATAGTCTCTAAAACTAATAAGAAGTTGTTAAAACTAAAAATATGTGGCCTTACTACTAAGGAACTCGTAGCTAAATAAGACGCGTCTTGGAAGATGCGGCCCCAGTTTGGCACTCTAGTATAACATCCCATCAAATTAACCAAATTGAGGTTGTACAAGAGAGATTTTGCCAAATAGTTCTTGTTAACAAGTATGTTACTTACAATCAAGCTCTAGTTTCATTGGGCTTCTAGTCACTTTATAGACAAGTTTGTGTGAAGAATTTGTGTGAAGGCCTATAAGTCTGGTAAATTCAGTCAGTGGTTCCCTACATCCCTAAAAGGAGTCACAGGATGGCCCTCAGATCTTCCTGAGTTATTGATGAACATAGCAGCCCAACTAACAGATTTTATAACAGCCCGGTACCATATTTTGGACGAATTTTAAACCAACTGTTAACCTAGACTGGTGGACACATGCGTAATGTTTGTTTGGTTTTTTATCATATCAAAACACACATAATTTTTATATAAATATTGTGTGTGCTTTTAAATATGAACTCCAGGTCCAATTGCAAGTCAATGAGCAATGGACTTGCATCTAGTAACTAATATTTGTCTTTTATGATTTTCATCAAGTATAGAGTTTGGCAATTGGATGGTGTGAAATTTTCAATCTTAAATTTTTATCCCGTTTTTCCTCTTAAGTCAAGCGTAAGATTTGTCTTTTCCTTAAAACCTTGCGCAGATCGGAATGGCTACTATGGGGATCCCCTTTTTTGTAAGTACGTTATTAAAAAAAAAATTTCGGCCAAATGCAAAAACCTCCTGTTAATTTGCATCTCTGTAGATGCTGAACAGCCTAGTTTAGTCAACTTTAACATGGGGCCTTCCCCTGAGCTGCTCCATTCTTTTCCAGAGCCCGCCTCCAGTCACATCCCATGGGGATTGTATGTAAATATCTAAACCACGTGCTGATAAGGGATTATTGACAAAGAAAGTGCCTGGGCAAGCCTTGGAAAGCCTGGGAAAGCCTGGGCCTGTCTCTGAGCTGTAGACAGCTGTCTGAGTAGTTTCATTGTGTTGGGGGTGTCACATTTTTGTGGTTATAACGGAAGTGTTCTCAAAACGATCCCCTTGGTGCAATGGGTGTAAAAAGTAGGCTCTGTGCAGTGAATTCAGCTGATACACGTATGAAGGCGTCTGAGCATTAACATGAAAAAATCGGCCCTGTGCATAAATTTTGAAATATGTGTGTGGGTTTTTTTAAAATGTTAATCTAGTATTACATGTATCCACTGTACAATTTAGCCTGTTGGCTACAAAACGAGATGGAAAAATGTTCTTTCTACCAGTAATAATAATAAAATGAAAATGTTCTTTCTACAGTACAAATGTGAAATATTCATTCTTTCCCAGTCTGAATAAAAAATTTGTAAACTTTGTGTGCTCGTCTGTTTTACTTTTTGTCAATCCGAAGCAACAATGCAACACGAAATTTGTACGATCTTCCTCAGGTCATGCTTAATACATGATCTTGTGGGTCTTACAACTTACTTCAGTCATCAGCATTAATGAGTTTCAAAAATTTCCTCATTTGAGAGAAGTTACCAATGTTTCACATTAGTCGGTATCACCCAATATTGGGTGTTTGTGCGAACAGCCTTCAACACAACCACTGCATGTAAAAGCTGTGCAAGGTTCTTCCTGTGTGTGAAGAGCCCGACTGTGCTAACCTTTACACAACATTATATGTTCAGTGAAAAAGTAGAATTAATGGGTATAGGCCTCGAGCTGGACCAAGAGAGGGCGCAATTTTCCAAGCAACGGAGGCTCCTTTGGTTGGAACTGAACTTTACTCGTTCACCAACGACTATGAAAGGCACGCATTACGGTTGCGTCACTACCAGCAAAATGAACACTCCCGACCAATACGGCTCTTTTTAACCAATGAGGGGGTGCTTATGCTCAAGGCGGATAGAGTACCGAAGCGGACACATCACAGGCACACTTATGAGTGTAAAAGGTATTACCACGGGAACCCGTGCGTGAACCAACATGTGCGAGAACTCCATTCATTTGCACTACACTTCTGGGTTCAATATGATGCCACGGTCATGCTGTGGATTGAGCCAAATATTTTATGTCACATGGTCTACAATATCAATCAGACAGTGGGGACAAATTTGGGTGAGGTATGATTTCTGCTCATAGTGAGCACAACTGTGGGGCCGTTAAGCGGTGATATGCAATGGGGCCCAGGGCATTTGCCCGCACACCACTTACCCTGCAGATGTCCCGCTGCTGCCGGATGCCACTACTGCACTGCCGCCGCCGCTGCTGCTGCTGCTGGCTGTGGAAGTGGTGCTGCCCGAGTTGCGAGGCTGAAGCTGCTCTGCCTGCTGCATTAGCAGCAGCTGTGACACCTCCAAGGCCCGCAACAGACCCTCCGTCATACTACCGGGCTCTGCCACCCCTAACAAAAGAATCAATTAACTATAAGCAAGAATACCTCTCAACCCATCATCTTTTGTTCAGTATGTCAGTTCAAAATGGCCCACTATTTGAAATGAGGTGTCCGCTGACAGTTCTCTTAGAGTAGCTATCATTAACCGTCCCAGCTACAGTTAAGAAGGGTGTGCTGTGTTTATTGGGCAGGAAAACTGCTGCCCATTTTCTATGTGAAAGCCTTTTTTTCTTGAAGATATCATGTTGGGTAACTTCAAAATGGAACCATTCAGGAAAGCTGGCGGAGTTACAACCAACATTAGCTGGACCCACATATTTATCGTCACAAAATGCACTTCCAACTTTGCATTCTCCACGGCCTGGGGCTAGTGAAGGAATGTGCAGGGCCAATCATGAGGGTGGGGACCCATGAGTTGAGACTGCCTTTCATTAAGTTTCACCGCCCACCTCTGTTTCCAGAGCCGTGCCTCTTCCTGTGGCTGTTGAGGTGCAGATCCAGGAATGCCAGCGGGGATTCCTCTTGCTGATCGCCTGACGATTCAGCCTGAGCAACGGCCTCCTGCAACGAGGCCTCGATGGCCTGTCGTAAGGCTTCGTCCTATTGCAAGCACAGAGGCAATCTTATCAAACCTCATCACAGTAGAAAATTAACACCACGCAACAAATTCTCACAATGTGGAACAGTGGTCCTACAAGTTATGAATGCTTATCCACCTTCCACAAAAAGCTTAGAAACCACTCTGAAGCAACAAAATTTAATCTCCATCAGTAATTACCACAAAAGCTTGAGTTCAGTTTTTGATTAAAAATTGTCCAGCTCACACAAGCAGTGCAACACATTTTTCCTAGGTTTATCAAGATTTAAGGCATGGTTCTCTTACTGGTTAATTATACACACACACAAATGGATACCATGCGGAGTGTGTGAGTAGACAGTGCACCCCTGCACAGGTGTAAGCACCTATTCCTCATTGCAAGTAAACCTCCTGCTATAGTGTGAACTCTGTGAATGTACATGGAATTCTTAGGCCTATGTTCTTGTGCACTTTGATCCCGGTATTTTCCTGTGTGGGATGTTACAATTTACATGCATCCAGATATGAAGTGAAACCGATATCGCACTGGCTGGGCCCTGGGCCAGCCTGCATATGACTCTCACTGAGAGGTCCTTTCGTGCCAATTTATAATCCTGGGTGAAAAGCGGCAAGGACAGGCACAGTGCCCTGCCCAAGGACACATCATGTGTCCTGGTGCTGGATTTGAACCCCAGACCCCACGATCGGGAGTTACATTTACAATCTCCAGACAACACCCTTCCTACCTCCTCATCCGAGTCACTTTCCCAGCTGGACTGGTGGAGATTGGAGGGTCGGCGGGGCAGGCGTGGTGGGGTGTCAGGGGGAAGCAGGCCCTTGCTGACGGCCGACAGGAACTCGTGACGCTTACGTAGCACTAGCTGGGCAGCCTGGACAATCTTGTGCCTTGGGGTGCGGAGGTAGTGGCGGGCTACCATCTGGGACAGGGTCTCTGTGGCCTCTTCCAGCTCATTCTATGGAGCAGGGAGTTTGAATTGGTTTGAGGGCTTTTTGACTACATTGCTTGTTTCTGAAGTAGAACTAGAACAGGTGAAGCTACACTAATGTCGCCCGGTTTCACTATTTCAATGCATTCCGGACAACACAAACCCAGATGCCCCAATTTCATGGAGCTTGATTGTGTTGTAGTAGAATCCATCAAAAGTACCGGTACAAGTAAAATCGCAAGACAATTGACAAATCAAGACAAATGTACTGGAAGATAGCAATAACGAAAGAATGCTTTAACAGTTCTTTTTCACATCTCATAACTTTGCAGGGAAAACTGGTAAGTGACCTGCGAGAAATTTCAAAGACTGAACAAACTTAACCTTACCCACTGTGTTCAAATGCACAGAATATGCCACTGAATACTGCTTACTATACAATTTTGGAGGATTCAGGAAGGGAAGTTGCTTTAGCAAAGTCTAATTACCAGCAAAAAAGGCATACAGGGGTAGAGGACCCATGCAAGATATAGGGCCCCCTTCCTTTTTGTCATGACCCAAGGTTCTACAGGCACCCCCTTACTTTTTTGTGACCACGCAACTGTTTATTTGGTGCTACATATTAACCACTGGTTTATGTGTAAGCTTTCTCTAAGCAGGAAACGGCCACAGACTTTCAAGTAAAGGATGATGGAACTTCCTGTCAGGCACTGGAAGGTTGGTGTGGGAGCCTTTGTTCTGGGGCCATTCTATCTCCAGACTCCGAGGAGTGTAGAACACTGACCCTACACCAAGCTCAACCAGTGTCTGATTGCTTTCATGCTTTACAGAATACTGGAGATAAAATAATGTACACCACTGGATAGCTTTCAGCGTGTAACCTTGCAGTTTCCACTCACCTGCATGAACTCAAAGATCTGTTTGCTGCCCTCTCTGTCCTCCAGGTAGTAACCGTAAGGATAGGAGAAACGCAGGATGCGGCGAGCCCGAAGCAGCTCCTGGATCGACTCCTCAATGAATTTGGTTGCCTCAAGACCTGAACACCGACAAATGCAGAAGCTGTTCTGAACTACTTTTAATCAATTTCGACTGCACTTGCGAGAAGTCATATTTGGCAAACAAGTGCATCAGTCAATGGGGACATTGTGATAGTTCATCATCAGACAGGTTTAGTATGCAAACACATGTCCACATTCCACAATAAATACTTTCAACCTACCATTCACGTTGCACATCATGTGAGCATGTGCACGAGCTTCACAACCTCAAATGATCACTGCTCATTGTCATTCAAATTGGTAGCCACTCATACATATGCAGTGTTTGTGGCAAATCTCATTTTGAAATATAAACTGATAACGAAGCCATTTATGCTGCATAAATTTGAAGCAAAGCTACCCCCAATTTCAAGTCCACACATTACCTTCCTCTCTCACCAGACAACCTTGAGCATAGTTTTGTTTCTTACTTGTGGAAATCTTAAGACCTCACGCTTATTCTATTTCTTCTCACAGCTTTGAACAACGTCTAGTTCCTCATCCTGCAACTCCCAATTCCTGGTGCATATTCCTGTCTCACTCTCACTGGAGCAACATAGTAAACTCCCATCTCTGACTCCCCCGACCCACTCCTCATGTGGGTTCCAGTCTCCCTTCCTCACCTGCTGGCCCTGAGCGAGAACCCAGTTTCCTCATCTTGAAGGCGGCCTTGCGCAGGAGTGGTTCCTCAAGGCTGTGGCTAAGGCCATGGTTCTTGAAGCGGGTGTAGAAGTGGATGAATCGGTTTAGCTCCTGCATCTCGCAGTGTTTCTTCTCGGCCTGAAGGAAAGCACCATTATGGCAATATTGAGGGAAAAAACGAGTGTACATAAGAAACAAATATTCACATCTGAAGATAGGAAAATAATTCCTCGTTTTCACAATCCATGCAGAAAGTTTTGTTTCAATGCAAAAGGAACTGTGTTACTTGACAAATTTCCAAAAATTTAATCAAAATGAAAACTTTAATCTAAACGAAAAAAAGATCTGATTCACGCAAGAATCTCTTCATCGGCATTTGCTCACTTTTTCCATACTGCCATGAGGCTGTCTTTTCAAAAATTGTGCAAAAAGATATCACTCTCAAAGAAATGAATGCCATTCCACTGATGGGAAAAACACCTTATATCACAAAGTGGACACAAAACTGTTACCTATTTTGCCAAAAAATGAGCTTAGAAAGGGTCTTCCTAGAATTTCCCATAAACTGGTAGAGGAGACATAATACCCAGCATAACACAACCACAGGCGAGAGCAAGATGAAAAGATTGTCAAAGATTCTTACGTCCGTTAGCATGCTCTCTGCCTTCTCGTCAACCTTGCTGACCACCTCAAAGCGGTTACAGCGGAAGTAACCACCCGTCTCTGAGCTGTGCTTGCTCCACGCCTCCAGGCACACCCAGCAGAAATCGTGTTTGCACTGTTGGAGAATGGACATAAATGCTATCAATGGCTGGAAATCTTTCACCATCCTTGACTTTGTGAACAAAACGTCTTGACAAACTTACGTATTGGTGCAGTGAAAGTGAATATCCCTTCAAATATCTCTGAAGACGCTGAATTACATCAGAAGTCATTGGTTGTGATTCCTGCTATTCCAAGTTTTTTACTCGTAAAAGGGCTTGGAAGGGGAAGGACAGAATCCGCCCTTCAACAAATTTTCCAATATCGTCGTACTGCATTTTTTTTTCATGAACCAATCCTTCATGAACTTTTAAAGTAATATCTTAAAGTAATATCATTTTGTAGTC